TTAGAAGTCTGAGAGGTAATCCGTAGGACACCATAAAACGCAGATTACTGATAACAGAGATCTTTCTTCCAGACAATATGCTGAGATATGGAACTTATGTTTTATAAAAGAATATTTTATGTGTACAATAGCAATAAATATAAAGACAGATATTCTTCATAGTACCATCAGTATAAGTTAAATAGCGGTTTTTATCTTTAATGTCAGCATAGAGTATATCTATAAATTCCATTATCTAATATGATTGGAAAACTTGTGATAAATTGAAATAATAGTGTTGCCCCAGAATGACTGAGTAAATTGCATCCCTCTAACATACACCCCTAAAAATGCGATATAATAGAGGGGTAGCAATGATCCACTACTTCCGAGTCTGTACATTACCTTTCCGTACTTGGAAAACACAAATACAGAGTGCAGGGGGGTTTCTGTTCTACCCGTAGTTGAAGACATTTCAGGAAGGTGGAAAACACGTTCATTAAGACAAGTATTTCTCAATAAAATATTACAGCTGATAATAAAGTGTCCAGAGTATGGAACAAGTCAGAGGGACTATGCATTAGCCACATCAAATTGTTTAGGTTCTGTCGTTTTCTTCAATGACTTGACCTTTCATCACTTCTGGAATCTCAACAGCACTAAAGCTGAGGTCATTCGGATTAATTCAAAACTGTGAAGTAATCTTCAGCTGTGCCAAATGTGGATCACTCATGATGTACTGTGTAATTATACTGCCATAATCTTCCAGCCACCCTGCCTCTGACGCATATGAAACATTTTAATGGCACTACCTGTACAACATAGATTGAGAAATAAAACAGGTGACAAGAAATTGTCCACAGAGTCAATAAAAATATGTTTACATATTCATCAAGTATACCTGCTCTGCTTAACAAACATCTCATTCCCATGGAAAAGGAGGCAATTGCATGCAGGGCTGAATTTAGTGATCGCATTGCATAATTTCTCAGACATAATGTTTCCTGTTAAATCTAAAAGTTTAAAAATATCTTTTAGTTATAAGCTAAGTAAGCATCTCCTTAGTAACTATGTCATTTGAAAAATTACATGTAACTATGCTTTGATTGTATTAGAATTACCCTGTGT